ATGAGTATATAATTGGTTTGAAGGAAAAAGCGATAGATAAAACAATATGAACTGCTTCGTATCCCGAAATTTCATAAAATATCTGCTCCGCTTTGAGTTGCAAGTTCGCTATAACTTTTGTTTTACAAGTAACATATACTGAACGAAGCGGAAAATAGTTAAGCGTGTTAATACATATATATGGTTTTCAGTCATTTCCAACTAAAAGAGTTATAAACAAAAACATACTTTTTTCGTGTCATGATGGCGTCGTTTGTTCACATTTTGTAGGATACGACGCAGTTTGATTCCCGGCCCTGACGTGTAATAATAAAAACTAATACAGCATGTCTTTTAATATTTTTTATTACAAATGCAGGAAAAGGTCTTAATTAATTTGTTACTATGAGGAAAGTCACGTGTGTGTATTCATTTAGACAGAAAGTGAAAGTAGACATTATGTTTTTTTGGGAAAAAAACGTTACCATAATTACGTGACCCCGCGTTAACACATGTCATTTAGTATGTATACATGTTTAATTCATACCAGATATTAGCTACTGTGTATCAATTGTCCAACTCATCAAAAAATGTTTTCCAAAAATAAAAGTTTCTATGTCGAGCAAATTAAAACTCGCATAAGCCATATGCCGTCCTCCATATTTCCCAACTGAAACACAAGGATACATGCGTCTTTGCGCACTGAGTGACGTAAATCATGCATATTTATAAGGTCAAATTCAAATCCATCATTCAGGTAATTGTTTAATAAAGCGGACTGATAGTGGCGTAATAAAGTAAATATTAATGAGGCCAAATAAAGTTTGACACTATCACCTTAAAACTGAAAACAATTTCCGACGCATATCTTACGTTCCGTTTGGCCCACAGTGTTTAAACTTCATAGGATGATTGTCCATATTAGGTAGAAGACCCCTATTGATTTTTGGGTCACAAGGTCAAGGTCATTAATACTTTAAAACTGAAAACAGTTTCAGGAGGATAACTTCAGTTCCATTTGGCCCACAGTATTCAAACTTCATAGGATGATTGTCTATATTGGGTGGAAGACCCCTATTGATTTTGGGGTCACAAGGTCAAAGTCATTATTACTTTAAAACTGAAAAACAGTTTCCGGAGCATACTTTAAGTTCCATGTGGCCCACAATATTCAAACTTCATAGGATGATTGTCCATATTAGGTAGAAGACCCCTATTGATTTTTTGGTCACAAGATCAAAGGTCAAGTCCACTATTATCTTAAAACTGAAAACAGTTTCCAGAACATAACTTAAGTTCCATTTTGCCCACAGTGTTTAAACTTCATAGGATGATTGTCCATATTGGGTAGAAGACCCCTATTGATTTTTTGGTCACAAGATCAAAGGTCAAGTCCACTATTACCTTAAAACTGAAAACAGTTTCCGGAGCATAACTTAAGTTCCATTTTGCCCACAGTGTTTAAACTTCATAGGATGATTGTCCATATTGGGTAGAAGACCCCTATTGATTTTGGGGTCACAAGGTCAAAGGTCAAGGTCATAATTACTTTAAAACTGAAAACAGTTTCCGGAGCATAACTTAAGTTCCATTTGGCCCACAATATTCAAACTTCATAGGATGATTGTCCATATTAGGTTGAAGACCCCTATTGATTTTGGGGTCACAAGGTCAAAGGTCAAGGTCATCATTACTTTAAAACTGAAAAACAGTTTCCGGAGCATACTTTAAGTTCCATGTGGCCCACAATATTCAAACTTCATAGGATGGTTGTCCATATTAGGTAGAAAACCCCTTTTAATTTTTGGGTCAGAAGGTCAAAGGTCAAGTTCACTATTACCTTAAAACTGAAAACAGTTTCCAGAATATAACTTAAGTTCCATTTGGGCCACAGTGTTTAAACTTCATAGGATGATTGTCCATATTGGGTAGAAGACCCCTATTGATTTTGGGATCACAAGGTCAAAGGTCAAGGTCATTATTACTTTAAAACTGAAAACAGTTTCCGGAGCATAACTTAAGTTCAATTTGACCCACAATATTCAAACTTCATAGGATGATTGTCCATATTGGGTTGAAGACCCCTATTGATTTTGGGGTTACAAGGTCAAAGGTCAAGGTCATTATTACCTTAAAACTGAAAACAGTTTCCAGAACAAAACTTTAGTTCCATTTGGCCCGTTCAAACTTAATTGGATGATTGTCCATATTTGGTAGAAGACCCCTATTGATTTTGGGATCACAAGGTCACAGGTCAATGTCACTATTACTTTAAAACTGAAAACAGTTTCCAGAACATAACTTCATTTCTATTTGGCCCATAGTGTTCAAACTTCATAGGATGATTCTCCATATTGGTAAAACACACCTATTGATTTTGGGGTCACACAGTCAATGTTCAAGGTCGCTATTACCTCAAAAATGAAAACAGTTTCAATAACATAACTTAATTTCTATTTGGCCCATAGTGTTTAATCTTCATAGGATGATTCTCCATATTTGGTAGAACACTCCTATTGATTTTGGGGTCACACGGTCAAAATTCAAGGTCGCTATTACCTTTAAACTGAAAACACTTTCCAGAGCATAACTTAAGTTCCATTTGGCCCACAATATTCAAACTTTATAGGAGGGAGGGTATACTTTATTCAATTTATGTTATGTCTTACAAATGCTTCATCTTTACCAAAAAAAAAAAAAACAAACAAAAACAAAAAAAAAAAAAAAAAAAAAAAAAGAAAAAAAAAACAAAGAAAAAAACACACACTCTTTCGGGCATATAATACTCCGCGTAGCAGTGCTCTTGTTATGATTTGTATTTGTGAACAGTTATCACCCTGGCTTCCATGTTTGTATAATAAACAACAAATTGGCTTGCGCTGAAGCCTTTGAGATTAATTGAAACTAATCAGTGTCACTATTAAGCAGGAAGACTTAAAATGCCATGTTGTATTTAAAAATTTTGCTTAGAGGTGTTTTTATTACATGGGAAATTTTTACTAGTTTAAAAACAATTTTCAAGAAATAGTTCCTTATTGAAGTCAGCTTGCAATTTACCGTAATTAATGTTTCTAAAAAAAAATCTATAGAAACATATGATCATTTTGATAGTTAACATGACCAAATTATCTTAGGAAAAATATAAAAATAATTACATACAGTGTGTTTCAATATACATGAAGTTGAAATGACATGAACATAAAAGTACATGAGAATAATTACAATACTAATTAATAAATTGCATTATAACAATATACATAGTTCTTTCCATTATGATTTATGGTGACTGACTGATTTGTGCCATTCGTGTTTTTGTCCCGCGACCCGCCAAGCGAAAAGTCGAAAATTAACAAACACGCTAATTAGCGAGAGCGCGGGCGAAATTTAATAAATAAAACTTCACCCTGCGGGGGCGCGGAGCGAAATTTAAGAAATAAAACGGCGGGGTCGCGGGACGAAAACACGCTATTTAGCGGAGTCGCGGGGCGAAGCTGAATAAATAAAACTATAGATAACTATATATTATCGCGATGTCACATTGTCGCTCGGCTCAAAACGAAAAATTGGCTTATAAGACGAGCGACATTGAGACAACGCGCCTCGACTGGGATTTGAACCCCAGACCTCTCACACCCTAAACGTCGAGCGCGTTACCTCTGCACCAAGGGGAAGTTATAAATAATTCTAAATTTAGAATTTCCATTTCGGGTTTGCAATCCTTATTAATTTCGAGGTATTTTGTTAACGATAAACCCTTTCTTTAAAAAAAAATAGCATTTGTCTGTACTAAAACAGACTTTTAACTGGATTTTGCCACTCATGAAATGTGCATAAAACTTTGCAACAGATTGTACTTGGTCTTCAGAAATTTAGAACATTCAAGGTAAATTTTCTTATTGTTATAATTTTTATATTTGTGTATAATAGTCCTTAAAACATAGACCTGGAAGTGTAATTGCAAATGGTTCATCATTTTACATTGTGACCTTGTCGTTATATGAATTTTGGCCTATTTTCACTTTGGATCCACTTGGTGAAAACAAACATGGCTGACAAAGCGGAATCACCTTAACACTAATGTAAATAATTTAGCGAAATTCTTCTCGCCAAAACAGTCCGCCATTTATATATTCCATTACTCGACAGCAGATTTATTTGTGTACTACGCTCTGAAGTATTCGGTAATCTACATCGCTAAAAATAGCATTTTTATTGATTAAAATGATATTCATCCGCGTAATTTGGGATTGTGCAATTATTGACAATTTTATAAGCCAACGCTACTTTTAAACTTTGAATGCCTTGTAATTTGTTTTTGCATACTTGTTACAAAATAAAAATATTTCTTTCTTTAACATCGCTAGTTTTAGGCTGTTTTGAGAACTACTTGTTGATAGGTTTGTCATGAAATTCTGTGCCAGCATTGTATTTCCTGATCTGTGATAAAAAAAATACAAAAACGTCATTTAAAAACAAGCGACTCATCTGGTACCCCATGCAAGATGAAATTTCTGACATTGGTAAAATTAACGGAAATACGAATCTATGGTGGCTGATTTGATACGCTTTTGTGCGTCGTGTTGTCATTAGCGACAGCAAGACAAAGCGCGAAACGGTGCGTTTTTTGGACTCGTCTTGTCATCCTGTCGCTAACGATGCATACCAAACGGCGTGTGTTGTGCGGCGTGTTATGGCGATGTCACATTGTCACTTGGCTTAAATCGAAGGATTGGGTTATAAGCCAAGCGACAGGGCGACATCGCATTGACGCGCCGCTTGACAATGCGTCGTTTGGCGTGCTTCGCTAGCGACAGGATGACAAAGACGAGAGTCCGACAACGCGCCATTTGTCGCGTTTCCCTAGCGACATGACGAAAAGGTGATAACAATATAGATTATGTTGTCGCTATCGACAACGCAACGCGCAAAGTGTACAAAATCAGCCACCCTACCAATCCGATATGCAAGAAATGTCTATCTATGGCGTTTTTCTAATAATAAGTATTTGTAAAATTATCCAGGTTCGTGTTTTGTTTCGTTGGTTAACAAATCAGCCAATAAACCGAATGCACGTGCTGGAACACGAGCCGAAAGACAAGAACTCGGCCCTTCATCATCTATGGAGGCTGAAAACACAGAAACAACGTTATAGCAAAATATTTAGTGTTCTCTGCAGGTAAGCACATTATTCAAGAAATATTATACATGCATATGTTTAATGGAGCTCATAAGTTGGGACGGAATTTAAGAATGAGTTCTTATTTCTATTTTTCAGTTTTAACCAAATTAATTAATATACATGCAGAGAAACAAATTCAAAGAACTCGAATGAATTTCAGTCGAGTCGGCAATTAAGACTTATCAGTAATGGAATCATATTACTACATGTAGTTATGAAAATGTCCGACAAGTTACGTCTCTCAATATAAATAGTTTTAAGGTCAGTATACGAGCGTTTCATTCCAAACAACCGTTTATACACGGCCATGTAATATGTGAGACATCCTAATAAGATATTTATTGGCGTCCACGCCGAAGCGCGGCGCCTCTTATGGAATGAAATCAGATTTTGTGAAAGGGCGACAGCAACTTCTCGAGCCTTTTAGTCGGTCATAATAAAAGCCGATCATTCCGATCGGTATGAGGGTGCTTGATTATTAATTAAAAATGAAATGTCGCGATATGTACAATGAATTGCGAACTGGAGAATTTCGCAATGCAAACATTTTCAAATTTTTTTTATCATTTTGTAGTACACAGTGGGTTATTATTATGGTATGTTATTGTTGTACATGTATCCGAAATGATGAGTTGATGACTTAATGATGAAGTTAAAGCTTAATGAGGGTCCATCCGCTCTTTCGGACACAAAATGCAGCTTTTGCTGTCGAGTACGGACCCCGGACATGTCACCAGTCATGTCCTTAAAGAGTTAATTTTGATGACCTAAACATTTCGAAAATCTATTTATAGAGGGATGTACTCCTATCGGTAATTCCCGGTCTCTACCGGTCTATTTTGACCGGGATTAACTAGTGACCGGCGAATAGCATCAAACGTTTATTGTCCGGTCTCTCCCGGTTTTGGAGTAGATTTTTTCCAATTAAGTTTTAACTTATAATCGTCGGTCAATATGACAATTGAGTTATTAAAATTTATTTTACAATTTTAATAAAAAAAAATGTAAACGTAAAAACTCAGTATTAAAATAGCACATGAAACACAAAAAAGACAAAAAGTCATAAAATCTGTATTTTTTTATTAAAATAGATATTACAATTATTGTATAATAAAACAATCATGCTCAACATGATCAACATGGTAATATAACCAGTGTTATATTTTTATTAAGTGTTAACAGATACCTGAGGGGTTCTTCGCTAATAGCGATAACATAATAAGGGACAATTACACAAGTGTGGTGTTGATCATGCGTTACACATATGGATTATAAATAATCGTATACATGTATATTTGTTGCTATTAATAATCACGATCATAAAGAAATAACAAGTAATATTCTAATCTCTAGCATGCCAATCAAAGTTCATAATGAACAATGTCTTTCGTCCGTTCATTCATAAGTGATATACAATTCTGGTAAAAACCAATTAACCATTGAAAAGATTATAAGAATATCTTTTCATCATGTCTACTAGTTCATCTTCACCTGCTGCATTTCTTGCTTGGACGCAGCATCAATGCTTTTCTTGTAATACATTGTATCATAGTTTGGGGACCTTTCTGTTGAAAATGTGTCAGAGTTAAATCGTATACATATACATGCACAGTGCGTTACCCGTAGGTATTAGTTACCCGCACTGCAGAGCATGCCCATTGATTGGCTCATTTTTTTTGCCGGGATTTACGTATTGTGACGGCAATGAAAGGGAAAGCGACAGAAATATCATATTCAAATGCTCGTTCATTAGTTCCTTTTTTCTGGGGTTTCATATTCACGCCCGGCAAACTTTCACTCCACTTCAAAATTGTGGTGTACGGTAAAACGAGCAAACGGCATTTCCGAGACAGAGCGGAAGGCCGATTTAAAAGAATAATTGTAAGTGTTGTTTATATTTTTGTCTTGTTATTCATTAAAGTTGTATTTTTCGAAAAACGGTAAATGTAGTTCCGTGTAGGATTGATTTAGGCTTCGAATGATCTAAGCTGTTACAAAAAGAAAATTATATTAAGCCTGAGAGCACTTTCCCCCCTGACGAAGTGAACGACGATTTGTTAAATATCAAACTTTCAACTATGAAAACGCTCTACACTTAGGATATTTTGAAAAAGTGTTTCACACAAATATCAACCCGTAACAAGTGCTAGTCTTTTGTGCAAAATAAACTACTCTTGCTGGATTTCTTAAATTTGTATATCGACATATTTCAAAAGTAGTGGAGCCAAAGGGCAAGAGATAGAGCGAAAGGTCGGTTGTTGGGCGCAAGGCGATTAAGTTGGTGTAAAGAGTATAGTCTACGAATTTCTATGAATAAACTCTTTCAAAGTTAAAATAGACCTACTAAAATGTGAAGCCGGAGAAATATGATAAGATATCACACCGACTGTGCACTGCCTTTTTTATTACGTTCGTTTTGTTCATAGATACTCTGAATAAACGAACAAAATTTTACAGATATTTCTTTTAACTTATTTTTTCTTCTTTAATTAACCAAGATTTGTACTGACAATATGCAGTGTTTGATTATAAAAGTGAACATTTCCATTTATACTTTGAGAGGAAAATGATAAACTAAACAACAATGTTAAAGAAGAAAGAAAGTATCTTGAAACATAACTGAAACACTTATATACCCCCCCCCCATTCGCCGGATCTCGTATACCCTTCCCCTATGCCCCTTTACTTTGTGAGTCTGTTAAGCAGTCATTTATCGTTTTTCTTTGTTTTCCTTGTCGGTTTTTATGGTTTCTTTTTATGTTTCATTTTATAATTAGTGATTGACCTGACCGTGCCCCGCATTGCGCTCTGTACTGTTTTGTTTGAGGGCCTCCTGGGCTCTTGGTCACCGGTTCTTGTTGTTGGGTCGCGTAGAGGTGGCGTTCATTGAGCGAGTCTTTCCTTGTTGATCTTGTTTATCATCAATCGCAACTACTCGGCCCTTTCCGTCAGTCTTCGGATAAGGACCTCGAACACAATAGTATGAATACACATAACGGATGCGGTATTCCGGTCTTACCTACGCTAAGAAACAAAACATGTAAACAAATAGTAATTTAATGCTTGAAGTTGTTGACACGTTTATTTCCAATATATGTTATAAAAGTCCACCTAAAATAAGCGAATTCATAGGTACAAAAGCAAACAATACGTTATTTATATATTTACTAATCTGACTATAGAAACCGAAAGTACAAAAAACAAACCTGTTGATATTTGGGCAGATTTGTTTAAAATTGAACATCAGTGGGCATATTTAAATTACAAATTGTTGTCAGACATATTTCAAGCATAAGAGTACCGGAACAGACACTAGAAGTCAAATATATACATTCGTTTTACATTATCTCTGTTTACATCTGTAAACCACGTGGTAGAACTACTTTCAATCCGTATTGTTTCCGAGGTTAATATTATAGATAATAGCCGAGGCAGTTCCGAATGGTTTATCATATTTCATATCCTTAGAACGACTGACACTTTGTCAATCATTTTCATAGAGATTCCCCACCTTACAAAAGTCTTTCTTTTGCATGACAACTTGGCTTTTTTGTGATTGATCAGAACATGTACGTTAGAGCTATTGATTTAATTACAGAAAATCATAGTAAATTGAACTTGGTAGTGGTGATCCATTTAATGTGCCCCGTGCATTGCATAATTTTGTCTCTGTTCTGCATGTTAAATATCTAACTTTTCGAAAAACATAACATTTGGCGGGAACAATCGCGTTACATGTACCTGCTCGGAAACATTTGTTCGCGGTAGAACTGAAAATATTCGATTTGCCGAATTCCCACGGACACACGTTTTTAAATATACATAACCGTGTCAAAAATCATGATTGACCTCGAATAAGTGGCACCCTGTTTTACGCCATATGATTCAATGATCGGGCCTCATTCAAATTTGGAACATAAATAATGGAATCTACTAGTTTACGGCAGCCATAGGTGACACCGCGATAACATGTATTACGCTATAGTCTTTGAAAGGATATCGCGCTTTATTAGTTGTCTTTAAAATGTATGTATATATCTCAGTCTCAACACTTGATAAGGTTTATTTTAACTTCTAATGCTTATATATATAAAAATTCATAGACTACGCTCCTCCCAATATGCCAAATTAATATCGCCTTCAGGAGTAACTTATGTTGCACGAAGGACAAGTTCTTATTACGGGTTTTTCGAAAATAAATACAACTTTAATGAATAACAAGACAAAAACATAAACAACACTTACAATTATTCTTTTAAATAGGCCTTCCGCTCTCGTTCGCTCGTTTTACCGTACACCACAATTTTGAAGTGGAGCGACAGTTTGCCGGGCTTGAAATTGTGACAACAGGGAACCTGTTTTTATGTTTGACTATGATACAAAAGAGAAAGAACATCAAAACACTCGGCAATCTGATTAATCAGATAGCCTCGTGTTTGAACTTTCGATGCTCTTTCTATGTTTATTATTGAGTAAATGACTAGTAATTGACAGCATCCGTGTATATAAATCATATAATCGCCACGTCAATCCAATAAAATAAAACGATTATATTACAAACGTGCAATAGAGAAATTATTATTTGATCTAACTATAGATATTGAGCTGCAATCTCATTAGTCCAAACAGTGGTCAACGGAACTTTTTATAATATTATATTCACTGGGTGAAGTATCATATTCTCTGGTTGAATTGGATTTTCCCAATCTGAACATAGACAATGACTGTTAATTACGGGTGCGAATAAGAAAATAAGTGTTGTGTTTTTTCTTTATGTCATATTTCTCGATTAAAACTTACATGTATATGTTAGTGTTCATCCGTGCTGTTTTACAGAAATAAGAAACTTCGACGGGAGCGATAGCGACCGGAGAATGTTTCTAATTTCTGTAGAACAGCTACGGATTAATACTTCCATTTGCTCGATACTGAAACATTTATTTTCGGAAAACATTTTGATGATTTGGATAATTGTTAGCTGATATGATTTATACACTTCTATGAATTGGACAACTGATACTCAGAAGCTAATATTTTATACGATTTATACATGTATACACTAAATGTCATGTGTTAACACGAGGTCACGTAATATATTTTCCAAAAACATAATGTCTACTTTTTACTTTCTGTCTACCGAAAAAAAATGTGAATAGACACACGTGGCTTTCCTCTTAGTTACAAATCAATTAAGACCTTTTTCTACATTCGTAATAAGTATGTGTTCATCCGGGCTGTTCTACAGAAATTAGAAACTTCGGCGGGAGCTGTAGAACAGTTACGGATGAATACTAACATATTTAGTGTCAAACTTTATTTGGCCTCATGAATATTCACTTTATTACGTCACTACCAGTTTTATTAAACAATTACCTTAATGGAGGGTTTAAATTTGACATTATCAATATGCATGGTTTACATCACTTTGCCCTCGAAGACATACATGTACCCCTTGTGTTTCAGGACGGCAAATGGCTGATGCTCGGTATTGAAACAAAATTTTAACCAACATTTTTTGATGAGTTGGACAATTGATACACAGTAGCTAATATCTGGTATGATTTATACATGTATTGTATATATACTTAATGACATTTGTTAACGCAGGGTCACGTAATGTAATTTCAAAAAACATTATGTTTCCTTTAACTTTCTATCTCTAGCTACCGAAAAAAAAAGAAAGTGAATAGACCCAAAGACAGTTAATACAAAGATATTAATTGACATTTTGGTTTTTACTTATACACTTGCAGTATCTTTTTCGCCAAGACTTGGATTTAACCTGAACTGCATGTATATCAATAAATGCAAAAGAATGTAGGTTGACCTATTGACGTCATTTTAACTTAATAATATTCAAAAGCGGCCCACGAAAGCGCATGTGCAAATTTATGCGAATGACTGATTTTACAACGCGGTTCTATGAAGCTCTATATTAGCTATCTGTTACTTATCATTAGTTAAGCAAAAATGAACGAGTTGATAATTAAAAGGGGTTGGGATTCCCATCTATATATCTGCTAGGAAAGGCTTAATTGTGACTTCAAAAATAATTGGTTGAAATGGAGTTTTCTTATTCGGTTTTAAAAATTATAAGCAGCATTTATCCCTCCTTTGCCTTTGCACACATACGTGTTTTCATTTAACAACCCATATGCCAAGGTTTTTAGCTACGATATAACTAACATACTAGGAAATATATTCTAGAAAGATTGGATTCGGATTTTGTATTGTGTGTCCGCATTTTCCCTATATCTTCACCTGTTAAGGTATTGTGATATTTTCACTATCAAATCACGAATTACGGTATTAAAACTTTCATTGATGCAAAAACCTGTTTAGTTAATTTTCTTTTTTTTTCTTCTTCTGTAATTACAATTTAAAATAGTGTTTCAGTCATACACGTACTGTATGTTATAAATATTTAAAAATGAATACGAAGTGTGCGGAGTCAAAATTCATATTTAGTGACTACTTTCAGATGTTTTTTTCTCTGGCAGTCAATAGCTTCAGTTATTCATTTCATCATAAGAAATTAAAATAATAATTCTGTTATGTCTTCTCAACACAGTGTAAGATGACGATGTCGTATGAGATTTGCAAGAACCTGAGATATGCAAGTTACGTTTCCGGTTTCGAAATGACTTGCCGATTTCATGTTGTGGTTCATGAGATTCGCGAGTTATGAGAAGTGCAAGTTCGCTGTTAATGATTATATTGAATTTCACTGATGAATAATCAAAATATTAATACATACAGTTAAAATCTAGCGAGGGTTTTTGTGAACAACATTTATTGTTTTTATTCAGTGGTTTCGGCTCGTGAAAATATATGGATTTTTTTCATATTTCGTGAAAATATATTCCATATTTCACTCAAACGAAAAAATACCCTCTAAATAGTATTTGGCAACAAAGGCATAATATACAGGATATGTTTTATACAGTTATCATACCAAAAACACGTTCCCTGATACCACAAAATGAAACCCCATAAAAATTAACCAATGAACGAGCATCTGAATATGCCATTTCTATCGATATCCCTTTCTCTGTCGTCACAATATGTAAACCCCGGACAAAATGAACTAATCAGTGGGCATGCTCTAGAGTGCGGGTAAACTAATACCTGCACTCCAGTTAACGCACTGTGCATGTATATGTAAACGATTTAACTCTGTCACATTTTCAACAGAAAGGTCCCTCAACTATTATACAACATAATATTACACAATGTTTATTGTACACTTCCTTTGGATTGGCCAGGCAGTAAGTGTCACATGAGACGCGTCACGACAAAACCATCATAGTGCGTTTACGACCAGCATGGATCCAGACCAGCCTGCGCGTCCACGCAGTCTGATCAGGATCCATGCTGTTCGCTATCAGTTTCTCTTCTTGTAATAGAGTTGGTAAGCAAACAGCATGAATCCTGACCAGACTGCGCAGATGTGCAGGCTGGTCTGGATCCATGCTGGTCACAAACCCATTATGTTGGTTTTGTCGTGGCGCGGCTCAAATAGATTGACACGCGACCGTGGCTGTTTGTTTCCAGTTAAATATTGTATAAATATCATTCAACCGGAACGTTTTAGAACCATGACATAGTTAATCACGTACAATAAAATCGTAATTTGAGTAACTTTTATATATATACCGATCTCATCAATGTTTATTGATTTGTGAAGTGACAATTAGTGTGACTTGCATTAAAAAATATCAACATGTGTTACGAGGAACCGGATAAAATGAGTGTTATTTCACTTTCCTTAAAAATTTTGAAATAAACTATTCAAAAAATATTTATGTGACTTAAAAATTATCTGTTTTGCATCACAGTCAAATAAAGGATAAAATCAGGTAAACTGAACACTAAAATGCATTATCACCAGGCCTGTTCTGACTATTTTCAGAATGCTAATTACTCTCGATTTCATGTGTTATAAAATTTCTTTTATCGTTTTTATGAACTATTTCAACAACAATTTAGTTGATTCCCATTTGAATAAAAGATATAATTCAACATTTTCTTTAAAAAATCTCAATGTCAGGTCCGTGACCGTAAGCGGGCCCACCGTAAGGGGGAATTCTTAAACAATTTCCTTTTCCATGCCTTTTTATGGCAATCTTGGCAACAAAGCTATAAAGGAACCTTTTCTATTTTTGTTTTAAGCTATTTTATATAATTTTCTACCTTTTACCTTAAACTTACTCGGAATTGTGGATGAACTTCTTCTATATTTCTATTGTAGACTATGCTTTTTTTTGCTATACGCTGTGCGGGAAAATACTACTCCCGGTCGATTTTTCATAGCAACGGACCGCGTCGTAAAAAGGTCTTTACAAGTTTAAAATGTTTTCAAGTTTTTAATGTAAGTTGACCGAATAAAAATAATGCAAGACATAGTACTGAACATTGTTTTTTAATTAATTTATTTATTTGCTTTTCTTTTTTGAAGATATGCTGGACTGTACTGCGTGATTGTCCACGGCGCTGTCAAAGGAGAGACCTATGAAATCGGAGAGAAAATTGACATGGGAAAACATTACGGGGAATGGAATGCTGTTTGTATAGACGGCGAATGGCGCTTTATTGACGCTCTTTGGGGGGCATGTGACATCAGGGATCCTGGAGACGGTCGAGGTAGATTCAAATGTGACGAACGATTCTTTTTTACAGACCCCAAGGAGTTGATATTTACTCATTTTGCTGAGACGCCCCAATGGCAGTTATTGGACTCACCCAGGCATATTGAGTCCTTTGAAGAAACCGTGTGTCTCAAAAATAGATTTTTTGAGCTAGGAATGCAAGTTTTGTCACATCCATTGTGTGAAATTGAGGCTCAGGATGGGGAAGTGGAAATTTTATTCGGCATACAACCTAAACAGGTATCAGAACAAAGATTTAATTGTTACATCTCACATTTTGATAGACCAGAAACAAGGCGATATTTATCGAATGGGTCTAATAACAGCGTACCAATCTTCATACATAAACTTACAGATAGTTCCATTTCAATAAAGGTACGGTTTCCTGAACAAGGAGTATTTAGGGTCGAAATTGTAGGAAAGCAGACAAACAAAGGTAGTATGTACAAAGAATATGATTGGATCGCTGTTTACAAGGTGCTCGTTGAGCAATCAGCTAACGTTGGATTTCCGAAAATGGACGCGGTAGGTTGGGGACCGGGCAAAGATATAGCGAAGGTAGGACTTGTTCCGTTTAATTACACTAGCGGCGTGATTGTTGCAAAGAACTCCATTACAAAGCTTAGGTTCAAGATAGGAGACACAAACATTGTTCAGAACATGAAATTCTTTTTTAAGATGGCTTCAACGTATGATAACGACCTTAGCATTAATTCAGTCAGTGACAAATTTGAGATTGACCTTAACATAATGACATTTTTCCTTGAAGCGCCTCCTTTCGGTGAGTACACTTTGAAAATGTATGCACGGAATGTTCGTGGAAATATACCAATGTCAGAGAGAAAGGAAACCAACATTTGTAACTACCTACTTATAAGTGATGTACCGCAACGACACAGCCCACTTGGGGTTTTGACAGAAAAAACGGAAATCGCTGAAGACTCACTGGAACGATCAACAAAAATGACAGAAACTAAGCAATTGACTGAAAAAAAGCCAGAGGTTGCAGAATCGATAGTCAGCGCTTCAAATGTTATGATGGAAACGCGATCTCATCCTTCAGAGAGTATTCGTAATTCTCCAGACGGAATCGATGACTTAAAAACACCCGAACCGATTTTTCGTGAACCATTAGCAAAGTCTGAGGCAAAACAGATATTTGTCCGTGTTGATAAAGATCTTCAGGAGATACCGGCCATTCCCTTGAATGTAGTCAGACCAGTGCATCCCGAAATACAGACAACCAATCAGAAATCAACTGACAAGCGAGAAATGAAGGCAATCTCAACAAATAAAGTGGTTCCCTTGATGTCAGGCGGAGACGACCAGAGCATGATGCTGGTACCAGTTTCAGAAAAGGCTAAACGACCAACAACAGGTGAAAGGAGAAATAGAACTCGAGATGATACAAAGTATCTCACGGCGCTTGCCAAAGTAAGAGGAGAACAATAACAGTCAATCAATTTGAAAATCATTCATTTAAAATGTTACCAATTATACTGGCAATACATGGTAAGAAATAGCTTATTAACAATTTCAGCCACCAAAACTTATCTACGTATTAAACACGGGGGAGGAAGTGTTACACGAGGGATGGAGTTCTTGTGATAACTTGTTATGGAATTCTTGTGATAACTGTCACGGAGTTCGTCGAAAAACTATTGTATATACTGCAAAAACATTCGTCAAAAATGGTAATTTTCATCTTTAAAAAGCGAGTTTTATGTGCTAAATTAATCTTTAATGATTAAGCTTGCCTTACATATTGTATTATGTGTCAAAAACTTAAATTGCAAACATAAATCCCCGGCAAACAAATTTATACCCGATTTTTTTTAAATGTCCCGGAGTTCTTGTGATAACTCAAAATGTGTTCTGGAGTTCTTATGATAACTTTTGTTACTGCCAATGTGTTTCTTGTGCTAAATCACGGCACGTTATAGCGTATTTTATTATTCAGTAAGGTTGTAAATCATTATGAAATGTAGTACGTTCATTTTTTGCACAAAAATGATGATATATAATGTTGGTTTCCAGTGTATTTTAGTTAAAGAGATAATACTGAGATATCTTATTGGTATTTTTGCTGACGCAAATTTCGTAGACTGGAAAAAGGATTGATGTAGAGCATTGGCTTTCATAATAAAATGCGCTCAAGTATGGTGTCTTCATGTATATTTTTCTGCCGGTGTTTGATGGGTATTTCCCCTATGTAATCTTAGTGGAGGAAACTCTGTTAATATTGCTGAAATTGAAAACAATTGAAATACAATATTTAAGGCAAGCTTTATAATTAAAGATTAATTTAGCACATAAAACTCACTTTTCTACGATGAAAATTACCATTTTTGACAAGAGTTTTTGCAGTATATACAATAGTTTTCCGACGGTCTCCGTGACAGTCACAATAACTCCTTAACAAGTTATCATAAAAACACTTCCTCCCCGTGTTAAAAGCTGGGAATTTAAGACGAAAAAGTTCGATTCATATTGACTATCTACATTCATACGTGTACGTATAGACACAATACACTTTGAATAATCTGTGACATTTGAATGAAAGTAATCATTGTTTTTTGTCCAGCGTGTCAATATATTTAATCATGCATTAAAATATTTAATGTTTTGAGAGCAGTTACAAAGGCATTGTTCATTTATGCTAGTTCAATTTGACATTTGTAGGTGTTAAAAAATCTGACTTAATTGTTGAATGACATGTTCGTTAATGTTTAAATCACTGTGTTATACATGAAATCATACTTATTATATGACTTCGAATTTGACTGAAGCAGTTGCTGAATAAAATAAAATGATAAGGTAATCTTAGCGTAGTATCTATTTCCAGTGTCCAGATAATCCATATCAAATGCATGTTGTACATGTACCCCATATAGCCTTGCATGTTTTCATTTTCATCGTTTAAACTACGGAATATTCCAACAGAAATCATGAAATGATCCAATCTAAGCGTAGACGTATTCATTTCCAAAGTCCAAAATGTCTATATCAAATGCATATTGTACTCCATCCAGACTCGTTTTAATTTCTGAAGATTCGTATCAGATGTTATGATGGCAAAGTTTGAGTTTGTCCGGCTTGATAAAGATCTTCAGGAGATACCGGACATTCCCTTGAATGTAGTCAGACCAGTGCATCCCGAAATACAGACAACCAATCAGAAATCAACTGAAAAGCGAGAAATGAAGGCAGTCTCACGAGGGTGGAACCCCATAATGTATCTCAAAAATGAGCATCGGCAAAAATTTATATGTGAATTTCCGCTGCACCAGATGTGAAGCATAACACCAGATCTGACTGTAAAAATAGGTCAATCGCACGGTAAGTTTTCATCTTTTTAAACATTTATTTAAAATACAATGCTTTTTTTTAAAATCTAAATGTGATTCTACCCTCCTGACTCTCCTCTATATTACCCATTCTTGTTTTGGATTTCTATGCAGTCTTCATCAATATATTCTTTCCGTCGTGGGTTCTGGTGTGTCCAAAATATGCAATGAGAATGAAGAAAATGTCACTAAACTGACTAAAAAACAGAGATATTACGTAATCTCACTACAGACCGATGATAAACATTCAGACAAATCCTCATTTAAACATTTATTGAGATTTGGCTACAAACGAAGGGAATCGCTGCTCAAAATTTCATTTCAGCTTCATATGTGCTGAAGAGATTCATATGTGCTTAATATAAAAATTAGCAACATAATTACGCACCACTTTCATAAAGCAGGCCGCGCCGCCGCGACGCCCCTTATGGAATGAGAAAGGGCAATTGCAACTTCTCGGGCCTTTTAGTCGGTCATAATAGCCGATCATTCCGATTGGTATGGGGTGTTTGATTATTAAAAATGAAATGTCGCGATATGTATACAATGAATACATGGAATAGCGAAATGGAGAATTTTGCAATGTAAACATATTCAAATGAAATAATCTTTTCCGTCAATTAATCGCGCCCTTTGGGTTTTTTATTAATCATTTTGTAGTACACAATGGGTTATTATGGTATGTTATTGTTGTACATGTATCCAAAAGCTGTAAATAGAATGATGACCTTAACATTGTGAAAGTCCGAAAATCTATTTATAGAGGGATGTACTATTCGCTTGTCTCCTATCGGTAATTCCCTGTCTCTCCGAGTCTATTTTGGTCGGAATTTACTAGAGACCGGCGAAAAGTATCATACGTTTATTGTCCGGTCTCTCCCGGTTTTGGAGTAGATGTTTGATATCGTTACAGATAAAAAAGTTTTTTTTCCAAAATGAATGTTTGTCACTTAGTTTGGTTACAATAATTAATAAACACAGATCAACTCTCAAATTTATTGATTATTATTATACATAAACATACAATTTGAATAAAAAACAACAACAATAGCATGTTTCATTTTATTTATATGAGATAAAACAATAAATATGTACAATAACTGAGTAAAAAGGTACATTTTTATGGTATTAATATGACACCATCAACTTTTAAACATTTTATTTAACTTATTATTCGTGTTTAGTAAAGATGCTGAGGAATTATTCTAAGTTACAAATTACATTTTATGAAACATGGTTAATCTTTTAATATATTATATTGTTTATTCTTAAACCACGTACATGTACATTTGTATTTTTCTTTATCATTTTTTAAATTATCAATCAATATCATATGTTACATACATTGTGAACTTATTGGTCTTATAGTGAATTTATTTTTTACGTTACATGCAAATATTCTTCTTTTACAATATAAAACAGATTTGTGTCAATACATAGAAAATTAAATGACACGTAAATTTCCTCCATATTGGATGGAAGCACCGTATAACGGAAAATCTACACCGTTTCACGTACCCGACAGTGAATACACAAGTGTGGTGTTGATCATGCGTTACACAAATGAATTATAGATGATTGTATATATCCGTTGCTATTAATAATCACGATATTACATTTATTACAATTAAAGTACAGGAAAAGCATTGATGCAAAGCATCAAAAGGCGTCCAAGCAAGAACTGCAGCTAGTGAAGATGAACTAGTAAACATCTGATGACGAGATATTCTTATAAACTTTTCAATGGTTAATTGGTTTTAACCAGAATTGTATATCATTTATGAATAGGCAGACAAAAGACATTGTTCATCACTACTGCTAGACCTGTTAACCAAATAAAAGCGACATTTAAAGTTATGAACTAGGTCTATTTAAATATTCACGGTACAAAAGAAAACCGGAGAGACCTACGGAAAAGACAATTTCTATGATACAACGATTCGTAAAAATGGCCTACTTAATTGTTTACTATATTTACTATCTCCAGTTCGCTATTCATTATACATATTGCGACATTTCATTTTTCCTTATACCAATCGGAATGATCGGCTATTATGACAGACGAAAACGCCCGAAATATAATATTATACATGTATATGTATTTTATTATTTTCAAAATGTAACAGAAAATCGCCATGTAACGTGCTAGTGGTAATTTATTATTCACATAAAAAATAGATTATTACAAAAATATACAATTCAATTGCTGCATTTCTTGCTTGGACGCCCTTTGATGCTTTGCATCAATACTTTTCTTGTGTCATATCTTATAAAATAGTAACGATGAACATTCAGCGGCTTTACCGCGGACTGGATCAAGAGTCCAAATGCATGTCGTACATGTACCCTATATAGCCTCGTTTTCATCGTTTAAACCACGGAATATTCCAACATAAATCATGAATCGATCAAATCTTAGCGTAGTAAAATGTCCATATCAAATACATATTGTACTCCATCCATCCTCTTTTAATTTCTAAAGATTCGTATCAAATATCCAAATTATACTTGATGTAGCAAAGTCACAATGTCAAACGATTTTGGTGTGAAATAAAAAAGTCATTATACATTGTTTAGAACAATATACTGAATTCTATTGGACTCGTACACAGCTGCAAAACCTATATCAGACTTGAATAGTGCCTCGTCAATTATAGGCTTGACAGGTTTTACTTGTACAATAAAATTTAGAATTGTTCACAGTAATATGATGTAAAATTACTTCATATTATCTCAAATGTGTATGCAGTAACTACTTGCATGCGGTTAGTTCCCGTACTATGGAACAGAATTAGTGCATTTATTCCATCTTGCTTTATGATATCAGGACTTACATTATGCTTGCTTTTATACTTCTTTATGACAATGAAAACCTGCGTTTTGCTGAATTCAATCATGCCTTATGTTTACAGAATGCACTTTCATGTAATTGCAACCTTATGTGTTCCCTACTAAACCACCAAACTCACATATCTTAATATGCTATATGTTTAATTGCATCTTTTTTAAGGACAACGTATTATGTTTGGTGTTTAAGATAACATTCTTTGCTTGTGCTTGATATAACTATATGTAATATGGTAAGTTTCTGTCAGTACCTTTAAATCTGCCACTTATATTGTCGACATTATGTTACAATAAATTATTAATTTTGATCAATAATTGGCGAATTTGATGTGTCTTAGCATTCATATGCTTCAATATATTCACTGATTACAAATATAATGCCATACATGATCACTGCGCATCGACAACGAAGATGACAACGATAGCGATATTATAGTCGCATGTGACAGTACGCACTAAGCACTTGGCAGTAAGCATAATGCGAGTTGCAATAATTTGTGTTCATATTATGACAGCAGGTGTCGCTTTGTCGGTAATCCCGTTATTTTCCGGATGATCCCGTATTTTGGCACGTGGAGTAAACAAAGTTACGTCTCCTTTATGTAGGGGCGTATACATAACAGTGTAAGTTGGGGTCGTGGGAACGAGGTGACTCAGTTGTGGCCACGAGTAACTAAGTCGTGGCCTCAAGCTAATTAAGTCGTGGGCACGAGATTACTAAGTCGTGGCCACGAGTTACTAAGTCGTGGCCACGAGATAAATAAATCGTTGGAACAAGTTACTATGTCGTGGCCACAAGAAAGTTTAGTTGTGGCCACGAGAAAGTTAAGTAGTGCGAACGAGATAAATAACCAATCAAATTACACTATTTATATGAATTTTCCTAACAAGGATGGCCCTATTTCACCTGCCCATAAAAGTGCCATTTATACAAGTTTTAAATTTGATCGTTCAAAGATTTAGCGTCATTGTGACCCTGATATCTGACCAAATTGCCTAACAATTATCAGGTGTCATTTACTGATATTTTTAGGTTATATGAACTACGGCTTATTCTTTCTAAATCATTCATCAGACAAGGATTTTACATGAAGTGTCATGTTTATCTGACCCGTGACCTCAAACATCCTTATATACTGTCCATGGGCAATGTCCCTATCCAATAAAATAAACCAGGACTAAGTCCCTCTCAAGTTATGGTATAAACAATGTTAACAGGCCGTTGTACGTACAAAATGACCAATTCTATCATAGAATTGTCCCAACAAAGGGCTATAACTTAGTCAAAATTAATGTCTGATTTATGGGCCTTATGATTCTAAAGACATGTATCAAGTTCAAAGTGAACACTTCAGTATTTTCAAAGATTAATGTTGCACGTAAATCTTTAAACAGAAATTTTCTAAGTTTAAAAAACCATGGTGTAATCTCGTCTGCACGACTTAGTTATCTCGTTCCCACGACTTAAACGACTTAATAACTCATGGCCGTGACATAGTATCTCGTGGCTACGATAAAGCATCTCGTTCCCACGACTTAACTATCTCGTGGCCACGACTTAGTAACTCGTGGCCACGACTTAGTACAGTACAAACTTGATATTGTTTTTTTCTGTAAAAT